CAAAAGTGTGAGTCAAGCACTGAAAGAATTAGTAAGCAGAAGCCTGTTAGAGAGTGCATCAAGGCTAGCATCGTCCTGAGGAAAGTGAGTAGGCCAAAGAGTGTTAGAATTAGTGGGCCAAAGCTTATTTATTTATTTATTTATTTATTTACTTTACTTGTATACCGCAGTTTCTCAGCCCAACAGGCGACTCAACGCGGTTTACAACAAGGATAAAAAACAATCAACGATATACAATTTAAAACCATAAAAGCATAATATACAATATTGAACAACCATAGACAACACAATACATCTCATAACTGGAGTCGTGATCCAATCCGTCGTCCAAATTTCCATTCCTGTAATCATCACATTCATTGCACTGTTTAACCGAATGCCCGTTCAAACATCCAAGTTTTTAATCTTCTTCGAAACACCATCAGCGAGGGGGCTGATCTTACTTCCATAGGAAGGGCGTTCCACAGCCGGGGGGCCACCACAGAAAAGGCCCTGTCTCTCGTCCCCGCCAGCCGCACCTGTGAAGCAGGCGGGATAGAGAGCAGGGCCTCCCCAGAAGATCTTAGGGTCCTGGCGGGCTGATAGGCAGAGATACGTTCGGATAGGTAACTTGGGCCAGAACCGTTTAGGGCCAACGCCAGCACTTTGAATTGAGCCCGGTAGCAAATCGGCAGCCAGTGGAGCTGGTGCAGCAGAGAGTTGTATGCTCCCTGCGCTCCGCTCCTGTTAGTATCATGGCTTCCGAGCCGTCTTCAAAGGCAACCCCACGTAGAGAGCGTTGCAGTAGTCTAGACGGGATGTAACCAGAGTGTGGACTACCGTGGCCAAGTCAGACTACTGTTGTCCTCAGGAGAATGAGGTAAACCCTTGTGAGGGAGCTCCAGTATGATGGCTGCTGTGTGTATACAGAGGCGGCCCTAGGTAATCCGCCCCCCCCCCCCCAAACCAATCACAGATATATATTTTCTGTTCGTTGTGGGAGTTCTGTGTGCCAATTCCATCATTGGTGGAGTTCAGAATGCTCTTTGATTGTAGGTGAACTATACATCCCAGTAACTACAACTCGCATATGTCAAGATCTATTTTCCCCCAAGAGCGCCTCAAGAGTGCCCCTGGGCAAAATCAACTATACTGCAAATGCTTACTTTGCGTAATGGTTGAGCCGCCCCTGTGTGTATACTATGCTACTATGTATTTGTTTATTTGTGTTGTGGGAACCTTGTTATTGTAAACAGTGCAACCATATTATTTTGCTATAGAGAAAAGCTTCCTATGGAAGAGAGAACATTGGTCATGTGTGCTTTTGTTCTTTTTATCACTTTGGGCTCCATGCTGCTTCTGTTAAATTACTCTGCTGTGCTTTTATGAGGAGGGTCTTTTGTTAATAAGCCCATTGCCCAATATATATGAATATGAGAGACTGGGGTTACACTTCAGAAATGTTCCTGTTCCCACTTACATACAGATTCAACTTAACAACGAACCTACAGAACCTCTCTTGTGCATCACTTGGGGACTACCTCTATATATACTTATGTGTATGCATGTATATTTGACTGGGGTTCCACTTAGTAAATGTCCCTGTTCTGACTTACCTACAGATTCAGCTTAAGGATAAACCTACAGAACCTCTCTTGTTAATAACTTGGGACTGCCTGTATTATTATCAATCATCATCATCATCATCATCGCCTTTTCTCATGGGGCTTCCCTTCCCTTCCTCCCCTCTTCCCTTCCACCCTTTTTTCTCATTGAAGTCCCCCCCCCCCCCGCACCATTTTCCATCCCCAAAGCAGCCAGTTCCCAAGTGCCAAGGGAGCAGCTGGTTGTTGCCAGAGCAACCTGGTGAATGACGCATTTTGGGGTTTGCCGAGCAAAGGAAGATCTCAAGTAGGACGTGCTAATTTTTTTGAAATATGGGGTGGGGAGAGAAAGATGGGGGGGGGGTTATTGGCACCACACGCCCCTCCCCCCAAACACCCAGGGCACTGCATGGTTGCGTTGTGATGTTATCCTTCCACCCATCCATTGTCACCTTTAGCCTTCTTCCAATCCACCCATCATCAATGTTATCCTTTCACCTCTCCATTTTATCCATCTACCCTCCCTCCCTAATTTTGTCCTTCCTTCCTTCCTTCCTTCCTTCCTTCCTTCCATCCATCCATCCATCCATCCATCCCTTTTATCCCCCTTTCCATCCATCATCCTTCAATTTTATCCTTTCTTCCTCCCTCTCTGCTTCCTTCCTCCCTTCAATGTATCATCATTTTTATCCTTCTTTCCATCAATGATCAGTGTTACCCTTCATTTAGGTTTATCCACCCTTCCTTTCATCCATCGTCACTTTTGTCCTTTCTATTCGCCTATCTTCAGTATTATCCCTTGCCTTTCCATTTTATCCACCTTCCCCTCATCAAGTTTATCCTTCCTTCCTTTCACTAATCCACCCATCACTTTTATCCCTCTTTCCATTCATCCGTCACCAGTGTTATCCTTCCTTCCATCAATTCTATCCATCTTCCCTCCCTAATTCTATAATTCCTTCCTTCCTCAGTCTCCCTCCCTCCCCCCCCCCCTCCCTCCCTCCCTCCCTCCCTCCCTCCCTCCCTCCCTCCCTCCCTCCTTCCTTCTATGTCTCATCTCTTTTATTCTTCTTTCCATCCATCATCACTGTTACCCTTCCTTCAATGTTTTCCATCTATCCATCCACCTACATCCACCCATCCATCCCTTTTATCCCTCTTTCCATCCATCTACCCTAACCCTAACCCTTCCTTCAATTTTATCCTTCCTTCCTTCCTTCCTTCCTTCCTTCCTTCCATCCATCCATCCATCCATAATGTATTCTTGTCATAGAATCATAGAATCAAAGAGTTGGAAGAGACCTCATGGGCCATCCAGTCCAACCCCCTGCCAAGAAGCAGGAATATTGCATTCAAAGCACCCTGACAGATGGCCATCCAGCCTCTGTTTAAAAGCTTCCAAAGAAGGAGCCTCCACCACACTCCGGGGCAGAGAGTTCCACTGCTGAACAGCTCTCACAGTCAGGAAGTTCTTCCTCATGTTCAGATGGAATCTCCTCTCTTGTAGTTTGAAGCCATTGTTCCGCGTCCTAGTCTCCAGGGAAGCAGAAAACAAGCTTGCTCCCTCCTCCCTGTGACTTCCTCTGAGGTATTTGTACATGGTTATCATGTCTCTTCTCAGCCTTCTCTTCTTCAGGCTAAACATGCCCAGCTCTTTAAGCCACTCCTCGTAGGGCTTGTTCTCCAGACCCTTGATCATTTTAGTCGCCCTCCTCTGGACACATTCCAGCTTGTCAATATCTCTCTTGAATTGTGGTGCCCAGAATTGGACACAATATTCCACGTGTGGTCTAACCAAAGCAGAATAGAGGGGTAGCATGACTTCCCTAGATCTAGACACTATGCTCCTATTGATGCAGGCCAAAATCCCATTGGCTTTTTTTGCCATCACATCACATTGTTGGCTCATGTTTAACTTGTTGTCCACGAGGACTCCAAGATCTTTTTCACACGTACTGCTCTCGAGCCAGGCATTGTCCCCCATTCTGTATCTTTGCATTTCGTTTTTCCTGCCAAAGTGGAGTATCTTGCATTTGTCCCTGAACTTCATTTTGTTAGTTTTGGCCCATCTCTCTAATCTGTCAAGATCGTTTTGAATTCTGCTCCTGTCCTCTGGAGTATTGGCTATCCCTCCCAATTTTGTGTTGTCTGCAAACTTGATGATCATGCCTTCTAGCCCTTCATCTAAGTCATTAATAAAGATGTTGAACAGGACCGGGCCCAGGACGGAAACCTGCGGCACTCCGCTCGTCACTTCTTTCCAGGATGAAGAGGAAGCATTGGTGAGCACCCTCTGGGTTCGTCCATTTAACCAATTACAGATCCACCTCACCGTAGTTTTGCCTAGCCCACATTGGACTAGTTTCCTTGCCAGAAGGTCATGGGGGACCTTGTCGAAGGCCTTACTGAAATCCAGGTACGCTACATCCACGGCATTCCCCGCATCTACCCAGCTTATAACTCTATCGAAAAAAGAGATCAGATTAGTCTGGCATGACTTGTTTTTGATAAATCCATGTTGACTATTAGCGATGACCGCATTTGTTTCTAAGTGTTTGCAGACCACTTCCTTAACAATCTTTTCCAGAATCTTGCCTCGTATCGACGTGAGGCTGATCCTTCTTTCCATCAATCCAATATCAGTGTTATCCTTTCTTCCATCATGCTATGCTCCCTTCTTTCCATCCATCCATTTATCCTTTTATCCTTCTTTTCATCCATCCAACATCAGTGTTAGCTTTGTATCGTTGAAGGCTTTCATGGCCTGAATCACTGGGTTGTGATTCACCTAATCACACCTAATCACCTCTCAAGAAAGGAATTTCCCAGGCAGTAACAAGCCACACCTAAAAACTGTTAGGCCATCACATGCTAATCAAGGTGGCCATTTGAAACATTCACACCTAGCTCCAACAAACAAAGAGTTCTTTCTCCCACCCTGGACCTTCCACAGATATATAAACCCGGTTTTCCTAGTTTCCAACAAACCTCACAACCTCTGAGAATGCTTGCCACAGATGCAGGTGAAACATCAGGAGACAATGCTTCTAGAACATGGCCATACAGCCTGTAAAACCTACAACAACCCAGTGTTATCCTTTTTTCCATCGATGTTGTCATCCCTCCCTCCCTCCCTCCCTCCCATCCATCCGTCCATTGCTTTTATCCTTCTTTCCATCCATCCAACATCAATCTTATCCTTTCTTCCATCAGTCTTATCCTTCCTTCCTTTATTCCTTCCATCCGTCCATCCATCCATCCATTGCATTTATCCTTCTTTCCATCCATCCATCCAACATCAGGCTTATCCTTTCTTCCCTTAGTGTTATACTCCCTCCCTTCCATCCATCCATCCGTCTTTTCCTTTTGTCCTCCTTTCCACCCAAATGAAGGATCCCCAAAAAACCAGACCAGATGTTGGGATAAATCTGTTTTTTATTCATTCAAGGAAGACTATTTCTAGAATAAAGGCTACATTGTACCATGGGGTGGTTTCTGTTTTATTATTATTACGTCGTCATCATTAATAATATTTATTGTCAGTAGTAGTTAGTTAGTAATAGTATTATTAGTAAGACTAGTATATTGGTTTATGCTGCTCCTTTTGTGGGTTTTCCCTTTTCTCTATAAGAAAAACAGAAGAAGCCAGGTTTTGGGGGGGGGGGGGAGATTGCACCAAAGAGGAGGAGCAAGCGAGCGGGATTGGATTGGGGGGGGGGGACACTTCTATGTACAAAGGCTGTGATGCTGTGAGTTTTCCGGGCTGCATGGCCATGTTCCAGCAGCATTTTTCCTGACGTTTCGCCTGCATCTAGGGCTAATGGCATCTTCAGAGGTCTTTTGGCAGTGAAGCAAGTGGAGTAATAATGTCCAGAGTGGGAGAAAGAACCCTTGTCTGTTTGAAGCAAGTGTGGATGCTGCAATTAGCTAGCTTGAATAGCATTGAGTAGCCATAAGGTTTGCAGAGTCAATCAGTGAGGGTCTCTGCATAGAGGTAGCCTGGCCTCAGTTGCCTGGAGCCAGTCTTTGGGAGTGCAGATACCCTCACAGATTGACTTTGCAGATTCACGACTACTCATAAAACGTATGAAGCTGCAGAGTCAGTCTGGCCTCTGTTGCCTGGAGGCATCCTTTGTTTGGAAAGTGTTCACTAGCCCTTGATTGTTTGCTTTTTGTCGAGAGTTTCCCTGTTTCTGAGTGGTGTTCCTTATTTACCTCCCAAGCAGAGGGTGCCTCCAGGCAACAAAACCCAGGCTACTTCTGTGCAGAGATACTCACTGATTGACTTTCCAGCTTGGTGACTACTCAAATACAAATTCCAGCTTTCTAATTGCAACATCCATACTTGCTTTACACAGACAAGGGTTCTTTCTCCCACTTGGGACACAGGGATCTTGATAAACACTCCACTTGCTTGACTCACATCAGATCCTCTGAAGATGCCAAGAGCCACAGATTCAGGCAAAACGTCAGGAGAGAATTCTGCTGGAACATATTGGCCACACAGCCCAGAAAGCAACTCACAGCAACCCAGAAGTCTTAGGGCATTGCTAAGGCCAACCTGCCTACCAGCCCAAAACCTCCGCCCACCTGTCCAGGGCTGGCACTCGTTGTGCTTTGGTCCAGCTAGAAAGCACTCAAGGCCCTCTTGCTGTACTTGTACATCAGAGGAAGGGGATGCTGGCGTTGAAAGAAAACATAGGCCTGAAGCAGGTATTGCCTTGTCTTTTGGTGGACTCAGCAGGCAAAGAGCCCTCATTCTCGCCCAGGGGCAGTGAGGTCACCTCTATGGTCAGCAGCCAGACAATGCCACCAAAACAGCTCCCAGAGGCCTAGTTCCAAAGGCCACCCAGCGCTTTGGCTTTCTTCTGATTTGCAGATTCCTAGAGACAATTCCCTTGATTCCCTGGCAGGGAACAAAGGAACGAAGGAATGCACAAATAAACAATAAAGGAGGAAGTTATGAAAGAAGGAAAGGAAGGAGCAGGCAACAGAGGAGGTTCCTGTTTGGCAGCAGGGAGGCCAGGGCATGAAGGGGAAGCACTTTCTGAAACCTGCATCCGGAGACAGAAGGGAAGAGGGTGTCCAGGCTAAGCGGGAAGTCTTGGATCGTATCGGGAAACATTCTGGGACGCGCTGAAACCAGAAAGAATGGGGCTTCCCGGTCTCTTCTGTCAGCCTGGTTCCTGGTTCCTCCTCTTCCTCCTGTTCCCATTCATCATCATCATCTTTTGGAACCAGAGGTTGATCCCTTCTGAAAGCAGGGTCTTTTTGGCAGTGGTGATGATGATGATGATGTTAATGTTCCCATTCGCCCCACATGTGTCCCTATTGCAATGTATGGGGCATCAAGGGAACCCTGCTTCTGTTTATCAGGTTCTAAGGTCAACAGAAAGGTGGAGCAATTTGCAGCCCTCTGGGTGTTTTTCGGGCTACGTCCCCTCCGTTTGCCACCCGCAACCCTTGTGCTTCCTCTCCTTTAGCAGACAAGCTCCACTGGTCACCGGTATCCTATTGGAAGTCCCCCTCGAGCCTTAGGAGGGTGTGGCGTCCCTGGCCAAACGGCCTCCTCTGACTTCTTTGCCATGTGCTTTTTGGATTGGTTGTGTTACCTTGTGCAGCTTTAGAAGCCAAAGCCCCTGAATTAACAACAAAGTACATTTCAAAGTCCGACAGAATTGTACAGATGATGTTCACATCGTCCGACAAATGAAGAACTGCAAGGGAGAAGAAGGAAGGAAGGAAGGAGGGAGGGAGAGAAGATGAAGGAAGGAGCAAAGCAAGGACGAGGAAACCCATTCATTTCTCCCCACAGATGGATGGATGGATGGATGATCTCTTCCTTCATTTGAAGTCTTGGCTCCAAACTCTTGGGACATCTCACCTCTCTCTGTATCCCTGGAAAGGCAGCAGCAGCCAAACAAACGGCGAGTCCCAAAGAAATAAAAGAAAGAGAAAGGCGGCTGCTTGGAAATGGAGATCTGAGTCTTCCCCAAGGGCCAAAGTGGGTCCCAGGGCCTTTGGGGAAATAATTGTGCTCACAGTGGGATCAGCAGGACTGCGACAGGCAAAGAAATTCCCACAGTGCTTTGCTCAGTCAATCCGTTTCGGACACAGTACTTCGGAGAGGGAGAGACTGACTCTTCAGATGGAGAGGGATTGTGCATTTCTCTGTGCAGCTTGTGGCAACGAACCAACAGTGGGCCTCTGGGCCCTCCTTCCACTAACGGAGAAGGTGTGAGGATTTGGGAGCCCCCTCCCACTCCACTGGAGAAGCACTGAAAGCAGAGCCCAGTCCTTCCTTTCAGTCCAGTAGGGCAGGGAGAGAAGGAGTGTTGACTTCTGCCTCCATCCCGCTGCGTACACCCGTTGGGAGAGTCTTTGGGAGGATGTCAAGGAGGAAGATGACAGAGTGGAGCCCAGACACCAACGAGGAAGCGAGTATAGGCTACGAATGGCATCCCTCGGCCTTTCACCTCTTCCTCTTCCTCCTCCTCCTCACATGAGGCTGCATTTGCCCTTGATTTTGTCTGTCCTCTTCTGCTTGCTGGAGCGCTTGCCATCAATGTTGAGGCTCATGTTGCGGCGCTTCTCCAGGCTGAGCAGCTCCTGGAAGAGCTCCTTGACATTGTAGTTCATCTTGGCGGAGGTTTCCATGAAGGCGCACTTCCACTCCTGGGCCACGGCCTCCCCCTCAGCGGCCTGCACCTCCCGCTGGGTCTCGTCGCACTTGTTGCCCACCAGCATGATGGGGATGCTCTCCACACTGCCCTTGATCTGCAAGATCTGCTGGCGGATGGGCCGTAGCTCCTCCAGCGACTGCCGGCTAGTGACCGAGAAGACCAGTACAAAGGCGTGTCCCTTGGAGATGGAGAGGCGTTGCATGGCTGGGAACTGGTGGCTGCCCGTGGTGTCCGTGATCTGCAGTGTGCAGACACTCTTGTCACAGCTGATCACCTGCCGGTAGGTGTCCTCAATGGTAGGGATGTAGGTGTCGCGGAAGGTGCCCTTCACAAAGCGCAGCACCAGCGAGCTCTTGCCCACGCCACCGGCCCCAAAGACTACCACCCGGTAGTCGTTGCTTTGCTCTGGCATCGTCGCACCTACAGCAGGAGAGACAAGAGACAGACAGACAGAAAGACAGTGCTGGAGGAGGAGACCACCCTCAGAGAAAAGAAAGGACCTTCAAGGAAACAAGGAACTCCCACCTTCAAGGAAGAGATTCCGACCTTTGAGGATACAAGGGACTCCCACTGTCACAGAAACAAGAGACTCCCATGTCCCTGGAGACAAGGGACTCCCACCTTCTAGATAACAAGGGACTCCCACCTTCGAGGAAATCAGGGACTCCCACCTCCAAGGAGACAAGGGGCACCTTTCTTTAAGGAACCAAGGGCCTCCCACCTTCTAGGAAACAAGGGACTCTCCCCTTCAAGGAAACCAAGGGACTCCCCCTTTCAAGGAAACAAGGGACTCCCCTCTTCAAGGAAACAAGGAACTCCCACATATGAGGATGCAAGAGACTCTCACCTTCATGGAAACAAGGCTGTCCCACCTTCATGTAAATATGGGACAATCACATTTGAAGATACAAGGGACTCCCACCTTCACGGAAACAAGCGACTCCCACCTTCACAGAAAAAGGGACTCCCCCTTCACAGAAACAAGGAACTCCCACCTTCAAGGAAACAAGTGACACACCTTCAAGGAAACAAGGGACTCCTGCCTTCAAGCAAACAAGTGACACACCTTCAAGGAAACAAGGGACTCCCCCTTCAGGAAACAAGGGACTCCCACATTTGATGATACAAGGGACTCTCACCTTCACAGAAACAAGGTTCTCCCACCTTCACGTAAACAAGGGACACCCACATTTGAAGATACAAGGGACTTGCACCTTGAAGGAAACAAGAGATTCCCACCTTCATGGAAACAAGTGACTTCTGCCTTCAAGGAAACAAAGGACTCTCACATTTGAGGATACAAGGCACTCCCACCTTCATGGAAACAAGGGACTCCCACCTTCACAGAAACAAGCGACTTCCGCCTTCAAGGAAACAAGGGACTCTCACATTTGAGGACAAGGCACTCCCACCTTCATGGAAACAAGGGGATCCCACCTTCACAGAAACAAGTGACTTCCGCCTTCAAGGAAACAAGTGACTCTCACATTTGAGGATACAAGGCACTCTCACCTTCATGGAAACAAGGGACTCCCACCTTCACATAAGCTAGCAACTTCCACCTTCAAGGAAACAAGGGACTCTCACATTTGAGGATACAAAGGACTCCCACCTTCAAGGAAACAAGGGACGCCTTCCATGGAAACAAGGGACTCCCCCCCCCCCGCTTCAAGGAAACAAGGGACTCCCTCCTTCATGGAAACAAGAGACTCCCACCTTTGAGGAAATAAGGGACTCCCGACTTCACGGAAACAAGGGACTCACCCCTTCATAGAAACAAGGGACTCTCACATTTGAGGATACAAGGCACTCCCCCCTTCAAGGAAACAAGGCACTCCCATATTTGAGGAAACAAGAGACTCCTACATTTGAGGATACAAGGGTCTCTCACTTTCATGGAAACAAGGGACTCCCACCTTCAAAGAAACAAGGGACTCCCACATTTGAGGATACAAGGGGCTCCCCCCTTCATGGAACCAAGGCACTCCCATATTTAAGGATCCCACATTTGAGGATACAAGAGTCTCTCACCTCCATGGAAACAAGGGACTCCCACCTTCAAGGAAACAACTTTCCCCTGCATCTGTAGCAGTGTTTCTCAACCTGGGGGTTGGGACCCCTGAGGGGGTCGTGAGGGGGTGTCAAAGGGATCGCCAAAGACCATCAGAAAACAGTATTTTCTGTTGATCATTGGGATTCTGTGTGGGAAGTTTGACCCAATTCTATTGTTGGTCGAGTTCAGAATGCTCTTTGATTGTAGGTGAACTATAAATCCCAATAACTACAACTCCCAAATGTCAAGGTCTATTTTCCCCAGACTCCACCAGTGTTCACATTTGGGCAGATTGAGTATTCATGCCAAGTTTGCTCCAGATCCATCATTGCATGAATCCACAGCACTCCTCTGGATATAGGTGAACTACAACTCCCAATCTCAAGGTCAATGCCCACAAAACCCTTCCAGTGTTTTCTAATCGTCATGGGAGTTCTGTGTGCCAAGTTCCGTTCAATTCCATCATTGGTGGAGTTCAGAATGCTCTTTGATTATAGGTGAACTATAAATCCCAGCAACCACAACTCTCAAATTACAATCCTCCCCCAACCCCACTAGCATTCAGATTTGGGCATAATTGGTTTTTCTGCTCAATTTAGTCCAGTGAATGAAAATACATCCTGCATATCGGATATTTACATTACGATTTATAAAGTAGCAAAATGACAGGTATCAAGTAGCAACAAAAACAATATTATGGTTGGGGGTCACCACAACATATGGAACTGCATTAAGGGGTCACGGCATTAGCAAGGTTGAGAACCACTGCCCCACTTGCTAGTTTCCAACATACCTCACAACCTCTGAGGATGCCTGCCATAGCTGTGGGCAAAACATCAGGAGAGAATGCTTTTGGAACATGGCCATGCAGCTCGGAAAACTAACAGCAACCCAGTGATTCTGGCCATGAAAGCCTTCCTTCGACAACATATAGGCCCTTTATTATTTCCTTAGAAACACACTCATACAAAAGACTCTTCCTCAAAAACCTGCTGTGATTCCTGCTGTCCTAGACGCTCTGCCCATGTTCAGATGCTCTCGAATACAAACACAGAAGGGATATGGATACACACACACATGCCTTTTTGGGACCTCTTTTGGGAAGCAGGCGAGGCCTTTGTGATCTCCTGGGTTCCTGTTCTGTGGATCGAAACTTTTGACTTTACAAAGGTTGCTTTTCGGTAAAAGAACAATGGCCGCAGTTATTCCCTCTGCTGCTTTGAAAGGCCACCCACCCAACCATCCAGTCATTGGTCAAAGCAACTTGCAACAGCAACTTTGGGTAGTTGCTTAATTAAGGGAGGGAGGGCGGGTTGAATAAGGGAAGGGCTCCCCATTGAAGACGGGCAAAGCCACCAATGGCAAGCAAAGGTCACAGGTAAACGTTGGTTGTTACCTAGGGGGAAAAGGGGAACGATGCTTGTGTTGCCATCCTCTGACAGCGCGGTGCATTTTCTCAGTGAAGAAGAGCCATTGTTGCCCGCATGCACAAGCCCTTCATGGGCTTCGATGGAGCTTCTATTGTCTTCGATGGAGCTTCTATTGTCTTCGTTGTGAAAGAGAGGCTTTGCTTGCTTGCTTCATAGCATCACAGAATCATAGAATCAAAGAGTTGGAAGAGACCTCATGGGCCATCCAGTCCAACCCCCTGCCAAGAAGCAGGAATATTGCATTCAAATCACCCCTGACAGATGGACAGATGGCATCCTTCCTTCCCAAACCAGAGCAAAAGGCAGGTGTCCATCACATCACATTGGCACAAAAGGCCTTACTAGTGAGACCAGAGTGGCCATCTGGATACCGGGCAGAGGCCTCCCGAAATAGAAACAGGCAAGTCCGACTATTATGGGATACCTCCAGTTGGGGCAGAGAAGCCCTTTTGCCAAGACAGGCAGGAAGAAAGAAGGATAAATTTAGGTTGCTGTGAGTTTTCCGGGCTGTGTGTCTAATGTGGCTCAGCAGCATTTCTCCTAACGTTTTGCCTGCATCTGTCGCTAATGGCATCTTCAGAGGATCTGATATGAGTCAAGTAAGTGGAGTGTGTACATACCTCTGCAATAATATCCAAACAAATCTTGTCTGAGTAAAGCAAATGTGAATGTTGCAGTTAGCAAGCTTGAAGCTGCAGAGTCAATCAGTGAAGGTATCTGCATACAAGTAGCTTGGCTGATGTTCCTGGAAGCACCCTCTGTTTGGAAAGTGTTCACTGGCACTTGGTTGTTTGGTGTCTGGAGTCCTCCTGTTCCCAAGTGGTGTCCTTTATTTACTGTCTTCATTCTGGTGTTTTTTAATACGGGTAACAAGATGTTCATTTTCATGGTTTCCCCCTTCCTGTTGAAATTATTCATGTGCTTCTCGTGGCTTTCAGTTTCAATGACAATTTCAAGAGAGGGTGCCTTCAGGCAACATAGGTCAGACTACCTGTATGCAGATACCCTCACTGATTGACTTTGTAGTTTCATGGTTACTCAATGCTAATCAAGCTTGCTAATAGCAACATTCACACCTACTTCAACAAGAATGGGTTCTTTCTCCCACTCTGGACATCATACCACCAATAAACATACACTCCACTTGCCTCACCTCCAACAGACCTCTGAACAAACCTCTGAGGATGCTTGCTACAGATCAGTGCTTCTTAACCTTCCTAATGCTGCGACCCCTTAATACAGTTCCTCATGCTGTGGTGACCCCCAACCATAAAATTATTTTTGTTGCTACTGGTGGGGTTGGGGGGAGGGCGCAGGATTGATTTTGACATTTGGGATTTATAGTTCACCTACAATCTGAACTCTACCAGTGATGGAATTGAACCAAACCTGGTACACAGAATACTCATGACCAACAGAAAATACTGGAAGGGTTTGGTGGGCATTGTCCTTGAGTTTGGGAATTGTAGTTCACCTACATCCAGAGAGCACTGTGGACTCAAACAATGATGGATCTGGACCAAACTATGCCCACATGTCAACATTGGTGAAATTTGGGGAAAATAGACTTGACATGTTGGAGTTCGAGTTGCTGGGATTTATAGTTCACCTACAATCAAAGAGTATTCTGAACTCCAGTAACAATGGAATTGAACCAAACTTGGCACACTGAGCTCCCATGCCCAACAGAAAATACTGGAAGGGTTTAGTGGACATTGACCTGGAATTTGGGAGTTGTAGTTCACCTACTTCCAGAGAGCACTGTGGAATCAAACAATGATGGATCTGGACCAAATTTGGCACAAACACTCAATATGCCCACATGTCAACACTGGTGGAATTTGGGAAAAATAGACTTGACATTTGGGAGTTGTAGCTGCAGGGATTTATAGTTCACCTACAATCAAAGAGCACTCTGAACCGCACCAATGGTAGAATTGGGCCAAACTTCCCACACAGAGACCCCCATGACCAACAGAAAATACTGTGTTTTCTGATGGTCTTCGGTGACCCCTCTGTCACCCCCTCGCAACCCCCCCAGGGGTCCCGACCCCCAGGTTGAGAAACACTGATCTAGACACTATGCTCCTATTGATGCAGGCCAAAATCCCATTGGCTTTTTTTGCCGCCACATCACATTGTGGCTCATGTTTAACTTGTTGTCCACGAGGACTTGAAGATCTTTTTCACACGTACTCCTCTCAAGCCAGGCATCGTCCCCCATTCTGTATCTTTGCATTTCGTTTTTTCTGCCTAAGTGGAGTATCTTGCATTTGTCACTGCTGAACTTCATTTTGTTAGTTTTGGCCAATCATCTCTCTAATCTCAATGCTAATCAAGGTGGCCAATGGCGACATTCCCACTTACCTGCAACAGACAAGAGTTCTTTCTCCCACCCTGGACATTATTCCACAGATAGATAAATAGATAGATTTGTTTCATCTCTATGCAGAGACTCTCACTGATTGACTTTGCAGCGGTAAGGCGAATCAAGCAGGCCAATGGCAACATCCACACTTCCTTCAAGCAGACAAGGGTTCTTTTTCCAACACACTCCACTGGCCTCGTGCCCAACAGACCTCTGAGGATGCCTGCCATTATTATTATTATTATTATTATTATTATTATTATTATTATTATTACTTTATTTGTACCCCGCTAGCATCTCCCAATCGAGCCCCCGGTGGTGCAGTGGGTTAAAGCACTGAGCTGCTGAGCTTGTTGATTGAAAGGTCGCAGGTTCGATTCCGGGGAGCGGCGTGAGCTTCCGCTGTCAGCCCTAGCTTCTGCCAACCTAGCAGTTCGAAAACATGCAAATGTGAGTAGATCAATAGGTACCGCTCCGGCAGTCATGCCGGCCACATGACCTTGGAGGTGTCTACGGACAACGCTGGCTCTTCGGCTTAGAAATGGAGATGAGCACCACACCCCAGAGTCAGACATGACTGGACTTAATGTCAGGGGACTACCTTTACCTTTACCTAGCATCTCCCAAGAGATTCGATGCGGCCGGAGCGCAACACAATACAACAATACAATACATAGCAAATAAAACAGTTAAAGCAGAAAACAATAAACAATAGCAATACAACAGGACATTATTAAAAACTGAGCCGGCCGGAGTAGGGGTACAGGATTAAAAGTGCTGAAGTGTCGGAGGGATATGGGATTAAAATCTAAGTGCAGTGTGCGGTGAGCGGTGATCTTGGCTCTACTAAAGTGCTTCTGGGGTTTGGTAGTGGGGTTCCTAATCTGAAAAGGCACGTTGGAACAGCCAGGTTTTCAGATTCTTTCGGAAAACCGCCAAAGTAGGGGCCTGTCTGAGATCTTTCGGGAGGGCATTCCAGAGGCGGGGGGCCACCACAGAGAAGGCCCTGTCTCGCGTCCCCACCAAACGCGCCTGCCATAGATGTGGGCAAAAGGTCAGGAGAGAATGCTTCTGGAACATGGCCAGGCAGCCCGGAAAACTCACAGCAACCCATGAAAGCCTTCATTTGACAACACAATTACGGGCCTCTTTGGCCTGTTCCGTCGCTGGCCATGGTGCTCCTTGCAAGGAGGAGAGAGGTGGGGGGGGGGGCAGAAGGAAGGCCCCCCTTTTTGCCTAAGGTGGCGCAAAAGCAGCACCCAGAGAGAAAAGAGGCTTGGGGGGGGGGGGGCGCCACAGGGCAACAGGTCCGCCTGCTCGGCGCCAAGGAGGGCGGGGGAACCTTGGAACTCCTTGCCGCAAGAACGAGGGGAGTGCGGGGAAAATGTGTGGAAGAAGAAAGGGAGAGTGGCATATTGGAAGGGAGGGAGGAGCTTTCCCGGCTATGGGCGTTATGGGGAGGATGGGAACCACGACCCCCGCCCATGATGGATCTTGGGAATAGATAGGTCACTTCACCCCTCCCTCCAGGTGTTTGGGACTTCAAATCCCACAACTCCCGGGCACTGGGATGGGAACCAGGGAGGCGGGAAGGCCTTTTTGCCCCCCAAATATGCCCCAAAGGAAGGAAGGATAGAAAGTAGGAAGGATGGATGGATGAAAGGAAAGAAGGAAGGGGTGACTGCTCCTGAGGCCCCCTCCCCCCCGATAGGGAATGGGGAGGGGGCTGCCACCGGCCTGTCTGGCACATGCCAGGCATACGTCATCGCCCGCTCCCTCCCAAAAGATCCGCAGCCCCCCCCCCCCTCCGCTTGGCTTTGCTTGTGCCTGGCCTCACCTGGAGGAGGAGGAGGAGGAAGAGGGAGGAGGAGGAGGAGGAGGAGATAGGCTCAGCCGGGCCCCGCTGCTGATGCCCCCGCAGCCATCCGGGGAGACGGACGAGGGGAGGAAGGAAGGAAGGAAGGAAGGAGGGAAGGAGGGAGGGAGGGATGCTGCGTCGGAAAAGGAGGAGGAGAGGGAACGCGTCACGTGGGGACGCCACTGACACCAGGCTGATTGGGGGGGGGGGGGGTCCCTTCCTCTTTCCTTCCTCTTTCTCCATCCCTCTTTCCGTTTCCTTCCTTCCTTCTTTCCCCCCTTCCTTGCTTCCCCCTCTCCTTGTCTCCTTCCTCTTCCTTTATTTCCTTCCCTTTCCCCTTTTCCTTCCTTTTCCTCCTTCCTCCTTTCTTCCTTTTTCCCCTTTTTCCTTCCTTTGCCTCATTCCTCCCTCCGTTTCCTATTCCTCCTTTCTTCCTTTCTTCCTTCCTTCCTTCCTCCTTCTCCTTCCTTCCTTTCTTTCTTTCTTTCTTTTCCTTTCTTTCTTTCTTTCTTTCTTTCTTCCTTTCTTCCTTTCTTCCTTTCTTCCTTTCTTTCTTCCTTTCTTCCTTTCTTTCTTTCTTTCTTTCTTTCTTTCTTCCTTTCTTCCTTTCTTCCTTCCTTTCTTCCTTTCTTCCTTCCTTTCTTTCTTTCTTTCTTTCTTTCTTTCTTTTTCTTCCTTTCTTCCTTTCTCCTTTTTCCTTCTTCCTTTCTTTCTTTCTTTCTTTCTTTCTTTTCTTTCCTTCCTTCCTTCTTCCTTTCTTCTTTTCCTTTCTTTCTTTCTCTTTTCTTTCTTTCCTTTCTTTCTTTCTTTCTTTCTTTCTTTCTTTCTTCTTTTTCTTCTTTCTTTCCTCTCCTTCTTTTCTCCTTCCTTCCTTTCCTTCTCCTTCCTTTCTTTTTTCTTTCTTTCTTCTTTTTTCTTCTTCTTCCTTCTTCTTTCTTTTTCCTTCTTCTTCTTTCTTCTCTCCTTTCTTCCTTTCTTTCTTTCTTTTCTTCCTTTCTTTCTTTCTTCCTTTCTTCCTTTCTTCCTTTCTTTCTTTCTTTCTTTCTTCCCATCAGATCTGGCCACAGTGGTCCACGCTCTTGTTACATCCCGATTATTTATTATTGATTTATTTATTTATTATTTGAACTTATATGCCGCCACTCCCTGGGGCTCGGAGCGGCTTACAAGAATAGCTAAAATCTAACAAAGTTTAAAAGCAATTTAAAACAATTTAAAAACAACAGTATCCAACATTAAAAGCCTGTCGGAACAGGTATGTCTTACATGCCCTGCGGAAAGCTGGTAAGTCCCGCAGGGCACGACTTCAGGTGGCAGAGCATTCCAGACTGATGGTGCCACTGCTGTGAAGGCTCTGCGTCTGGTAGCCGTTAGACGCAAGGTCTTGACACTGAGGACTTCCAATAGATCTTGGTCCTCAGAACGGAGGGATCTCTGGGGTTGGTAGGGGGTGAGGCGGTCCCTCAGATACATTGGCCCCAGACAGGGCCGGCTCAACCCATTACGCAAAGTAAGCATTCGCAGTATAGTTGATTGTACCTCGGGAAGTCTGACTTGGCCACGGTAGTACACGCTCTGGTCACATCCCGCCTTGACTACTGCAACGCTCTCTACGTGGGGCTGCCCTTGAAGACGGCCCGGAAGCTCCAGCTAGTCCAGCGCGCAGCCATGTTACTAACAGGAGCGGGACGCAGGGAGCACACAACGCCCTTGTTGTTCCAGCTCCATTGGCTGCCGATCTGCTACCGGGCCCAATTCAAGGTGCTGGTGTTGGCCTACAAAGCCCTAAACGGTTCCGGCCCAAAATACCTGTCTGACCGCATCTCGGCCTATGAGCCCACGAGGACTTTGAGATCGTCTGGGGAGGCCCTTCTCTCGATCCCGCCTGCCTCACAGGCACGCCTGGCGGGGACGAGGGATAGGGCCTTCTCGGTGGTGGCCCCCCGGCTGTGGAACACCCTCCCTGTAGACAGCAGACAGGCGCCCTCCCTTATGACATTCCGCAAGAGACTAAAGACGTGGTTGTTTGAGAAGGCGTTTGACTAAGTGCTACAACAATTGGCAATGATGTTTGGAACGGAATATGGAAAACGAGATTGGATTGTGATTCTATGATGAGACGTCGCGAATGATTTAGTGTAATTGTATTATTAATAGTGATGTTGCTATTGTTGTTTGTGTAATTGCCTTATTGTAAATTGTTTTTTATATGTTGTACACCGCCGTGAGTCGCCCTAGGGCTGAGAACGGCGGTCTACAAGTGCAGTAATAAATAAATAAATAAATAAATTGTGCCCAGGGGTGCTCTTGAGGCGCTCTTGGGGGAAAATAGACCTTGACATATGCGAGTTGTAGTTACTGAGATGTGTAGTTCACCTACAATCGAAAGAGCATTCTGAACTCCACCAATGATGGAATTGAACCAAATATGGCACACAGAACTCCCACGACGAACAGAAAATATATATCAGTGATTGGTGGGGGGGGGTGCCAAAATACTATTTGCTTACCATTGAAAATTACCTAGGGCCGCCTCTGGCCCCAGACCATGCAAGGCCTTAAAGGTGAGTACCATCACTTTGAAAGTGATCCGGTGTTCAATTGGTAACCAGTGCAGCTGTAGTAAGATTGGAGTTATGTGGCATCTCATCGGAATTCCCGCAAGAAGCCGAGCAGCTGCATTTTGTACCAACTTGAGCTTCCGGATCACCGACAGAGGAAGGCCAATGGAGAGGGCGTTACAGTAGTCCAGTCTTGAGATGACCGTGGCCTGGATCACCGTAGCTAGGTCGTCCCTGGACAGGTAGGGGGCCAGCCGTCTAGCCTGCCGCAGGTGAAAGAAGGCGGTTCTGCTCACGGCGGAGACCTGGGCCTCCATTGTCAGCAGAGGGTCCAAAAGGACTCCCAGACTCTTTACCAATGATGACGGGCGTAACGCCTCGCCATCCAGGGTAGGCAGCTGGATATCCCCACTGCCCAGTTGACCCAGCCATAGGATCTCCATCTTTGCTGGATTCACCCTCAACCTGCTGGCACGCAGCCATCCAGTAACGGCCTCGAGGCACTGATGGAAACAATTGGGTACAGAGTCCGGTCGGCCTTCCATCTTCAGCACCAGCTGAGTGTCATCGGCATACTGGCCTTCCATCTTCAGCACCAGCTGAGTGTCATCGGCATACTGATAACACTCAAGCCCAAAACCTCGAACCAGCTGAGCAAGTGGTCGCATATAGATGTTAAACAACAGAGGGGAGAGAATGGCCCCCTGAGGAACCCCACAAAATAATCTAACCCCACAAGATTAGATTACTGCAACGCACTCTACGTGGGGTTGCCTTTGAAGACTGTTCGGAAACTTCAATTAGTCCAGCGGGAGGCAGCCAGAGTACTTACAGGAGCGTCATACAGTAAGTACTCCTTACAGAGAGAGGTCAACCCTCCTGTTCAAGGAACTCCACTGGCTGCCGTTTATTTACCGAGCCCAATTTAAGGTGCAGGTGCTTACCTACAAAGCCCTGAACGGTTTGGGACCAGCCTACCTGCGTGATCGCATCTCCGTCTACGAACCCACGCGTTCTCTTCGTTCATCCGGAGAGGCCCTGCTCGTGATCCCGCCTGCGTCGCAAGCGCGTTTGGTGGGGACACGAGACAGGGCCTTTTCCGTGGTGGCCCCCTGACTCTGGAACACCCTCCCCAAAGATCTTAGACAGTCCCCTAAGCTGGCAGTCTTCAGAAAGAACTTGAAGACCTGGCTGTTCCGATGTGCCTTCCCCGAATAGGAAACCTCCAATACCAAGTCCCATAAGCACTTTATTAAAGCTAAGACCGCCACACACTGCACACTGCACTTGCCCTATAAGCCTTATATTCCACCTGTCACATCAGCACTTTTAATTCCTGTACCCATTACTCTGGCCCGGCCCAGTTTTATTGTGTCTTAGTGTATTGTTTATTGCTTGTTGTTTAGATTGCTTTAATTGTTTTTAATTTGCCTTAGGTTTTGTATTGTTGTATTGTGTGTTGAGGCCTTGGCCTTTGTAAGCCGCATCAAGTCCTTCGGGAGATGCTAGCGCGGTACAAATAAAGTTTAATAATAATAATAATAATAATAATAATAATAATACAGGAGCGTCATTCTGGAGAACAAGCCCTATGAGGAGCGGCTTAAGGAGCTGGGCATGTTTAGCCTGAAGAAGAGAAGGCTGAGAGGAGATATGATAGCCATGTATAAATATGTGAGAGGAAGCCACAGGGAGGAGGGAGCAAGCTTGTTTTCTGCTTCCCTGGAGACTAGGACACGAAACAATGGCTTCAAACTACAAGAGAGGAGATTCCATCTGAACATGAGGAAGAACTTCCTGACTGTGAGAGCCGTTCAGCAGTGGAACTCTGTGGTGGAGGCTCCTTCTTTGGAAGCTTTTAAACAGAGGCTGGATGGCCATCTGTCAGGGGTGTTTTGAATGCAATATTCCTGCTTCTTGGCAGAATGGGGTTGGACTGGATGGCCCATGAGGTCTCTTCCAACTCTTTGATTCTATTATTCTATACAGGGAGCATACCACCCCCCTGTTATGTCAGCTCCACTGGCTGCCGATCCAATTCCGGGAACAATTCAAAGTGCTGGTTTTGACCTACCAAACCCTATACGGTTCCGGCCCAGCATATCTGTCCGAACGGATCTCGCTCTACGTCCCACCTTGAAGTTTAAGATCTTCTGGGGAGGCCCTGCTCTCGGCCCCGCCTCTATCACAACTGAGATTGGTGGGGATGAGGAGCAGGCCCTTCTCAGTGGTGGCCCCTCACCTGTGAAATTCACTCCCCGGGGAAATTAAATCAGCGACATCCCTCCTTTCCTTTAGGAGGAAATTAAAAACATGGATTTGGGACCAGGCGCTTGGACAATCTGGCAGATAAAGGACTAGGACGACTGATAAGAATGGACAAAGTGGAATGAAGTTATGGACTCTGAGTGGCGAACGCTGAGCATGAGATTAGTTTATTGACTGTGTTATATAGTGATTGTTTTAACTGTTATAACTGTTTTAACTGCTGTTTTATATGTTTATATGTATTATTAAGACTAGAGACAAAGTTGAAGTACTTTGGCCACATCATGAGGAGACAGCAAAGCCTAGAGAAGACAATGATGCTGAGG